TGGGGTGGGGTCTGTAGTCCCATCCAGCTGTGGGAGGGGTGGGGGTGCAGTTCCATCCAGCTGTGGTAAAGCCTGGAAAGAGGGGGTCTGTAGTTCTGTCCAGCTGGGGGAATACACTGGGGTGGGGTCTGTAGTTCCATCCAGCTGTGGGAGGGGTGGTGGGGGGATGTAATTTCATCCACCTGTGGTAATAGCCTGGGGGGTGGGGATCTGTAGATCTGTCCAGCTGGGGGAATACACTGGGGTGGGGTCTGTAGTTCCATCCAGCTCGGGGGGCGGCGGCAGTGGCGGGGGGGGGGTGTCTGTAGTTCTGTCCAGCCACTTTTGTTTTCATTTCTGAACCCCCCTGTGCAGAGACGATCCCAAAGTCACGGAGAGGCCCCCCCCCCCCCCCCGAAGGGGGCATTTCCCCAAACCCATCTCCCCGGGGACGGATGAAGCTGCCGAGGGATGTTACATCCCTTCCTTTGTTGCATGTTCTCTGAATTACACCCCCCCCCCATGCTAAATCCAGGCCCCTCCCTCAGGATCCACAGCCCCCCCCCCCCCGCCCCCGCCTCTCCAGATCTGCAGAGCCTGGGGCTGGGACATGGCCGAGGCCAAGCAAGCCCCCAGGCTGCGGGGAGGATGCGGGGCGTGGGGGAGCCAGCCAGCCGGAGACCACCTCCGCCCGGCTCGCTGCCTCTCCGCGCCCCGGGACCAGACGGTGCAGCATCACCTGGGGCCGGTCTCCCCATCCCGCATCCTCCCCCCCCCGGCCTCACCTTCTGGTCCCCCATCTTCAGAGCTTCCGCGCCCAGCTCGGGCCCTGGCGATGGGTGCAGGGGAGCCGCCCCCAAGGGCATGGAGCCAGCGGCCGCTCGAGGGCTCTTTGCCCGGGGGCTGGACGGCCCGGCCCCTCCGGCGTCCACAGAGCTGCTGGGAAAGCAGCCGCGAACCCCCCCAGCCTGGGAACTTGCCCTGCCCCCTCAGTGCGCAGGTGCCCGGGCATCCTGGGAAGTGTAGTCCCTGCCCGAGAAGGGGCCCGCCTGGGGGGGGGGATGCACAGAACAGCCAAGGCTCTGGTCCTGCCTGGAGAGGCTGCCCCCCAGCTCTGACCCCTGCACGGGGGAAGGCAGGAGGCCTCAGGGGCAGCCCTGCTTAGGCTGTCTGAGCTGATGGCGCTGCAGGGGGGCGAGGATTGCGGTGGGGCGGGTCCAGGGGGAGCAGGGAGTTGGGCGGCTAGAGTTTGCTGGCGGTGGCGGGTGAAGGGAGCTGGTCGGCGCCTGCCCACGTTAGCGGGACAAGCCCAGGACGGCGCCCACGCTCTGCAGGCTGCGGTGTCCATGCCTGCGGGTGGGTGTGCGCCTGGTGGGTGTGATTCCGTGCACCAGTGCGGCTGACACCGTGCTCGAGTGTGAGCATCGCTCTGCAGCGTGGGTGTTCCTTTCGCAGCCTGATCCTCGCCGGCGGGGTGTTCTGCAGGGTGAGGCCCGGGGGCATCAGGCCGGCGGCCACAGTGTGTTTTGTGTCTGCCCCAGTGCATCGCTGTGTGTAGCCAGGCTGTAGCTGTGTGCAAGGAGCGGGGGATTCTGTGTACCAAGTGGGGGTGATTCAGCAACTGTGCCCAGGAGCGCAGCGGTGTGACCGCAGCAGGGGGGTAACTCTGCGCATGGCTGTGTCTGCCCCTGTGGAGGGTGGACATGATCTGGTGCAACAGCCTGGCTATCGCTGTGCAGGGGCAGTGCGAGTCAATGCAGAGGCGTGATTGCCTCCGGGGACCCCGTGTAGCAGAGTGGGGCCACTCACTGCGCAGCTAAGACGTCATTTCCAGGTGCCCCAGTTCTATGTGCTCTCTCTGGTCACTGAACCACATGTAGCTAAACGACACCATGTCCTGTGGTCTGCCTCAAAGGCTGGGCCTGCGAGCAGAAGCGCGAGGGCTGATGCTCACGGCGGGATGTGGGGGTGTTTCAGTTTCCCGCTTGCTTCTCTGAAGAACGTGCGCTCACCCCGGTCCCATCGCTCGCCTCTGGGGAGGGCTGCTCCCAGACGTCGCCTCCTCGCTGAGAGTAAACCTAGGAAAGTGAGCTGATGGGCCGGTGGGGAAGCTCAGGGCCCCTCCAATGCCTGCCTCTCCCAGCAGGGGGCGCTCTAAGGGGGATGTTGTGAGGGCGTTCGCTGTAAGGGGAGCCCAGGGCTTTCCCAGTCCCAGCCTCTCCCAACAGGGGGGCTGTAGGGAACGGGATGGCGCACTGGCCGTGTGGGTAGTGTTCCCCGTGCTCCCAGAACATTAGCTGTACAGGAGCTCGTGGCTACTCCAGCCCCAGCTTCCTCCAGCAAGGGGTGCTGTAGGGACCTGGGGGGGTCAGGGGAAGAGGAGCGCTGAAATCCCACTGATCGTTGACCTCTCCTCCTCCCCAGACTTGAGGCTGTGGGGTAGGGTGAGGAGAAAGGGAGACTGGTGGTGTGGTTCAGGCGTGGTACTAGGCGCCAGGACTCCTGGGTTCTGTTCCAGGTCTGGGACAAGGGGGCGGTCTGGTGATGGATAATAAGACAGAAAATATTGTAATGCCACTGTGTAAATCCATGGTATGTCCTCACCTTGAATACTGCCTGTAGGTCTGGTGCCTCATCTGAAAGAAGATAAGTTGCAGGGGAAGCACAGAGATATGGGCACCCCAAATGATTAGGCATGTGGCACAGCTGTCATAGGAGGAGCGATTAAAAAGGGTGGGATGGTTCAGCTTGGACAAAAGGGCAGGGGAATATGATTGAGGTCTATGAAATCACGACTGGTGTGGAATAAGGACGTGCTATTTTCCCTTCACCTACCGCAGGAACCAGGGGTCATCCAATGAAATCAATAGGCAGCAGGTTTACAACAAACAGAAGGAAGTGCTTCTTCACCCAATGTGCAATCAACCTGTGGAACTCCTTGCCAGGGGATGTTGTGGAGGCCAAAACTGTAACTGGGTTCAAAAATGAATTAGATAAATTCATGGAGGACAGGTCCATCAATGGCTACTGGCGGAGATGGTCAGTGATGCAACCCCATGCTCTGGGTGTCCCTAAACCTCTGGCTGACAGAAGATGGATCACTTGATAAATTGTCCTGTTCTCTTCATTGCCTCTGAAGCATCTGGCATTGTCCATTGTCAGAAGACAGGATACTGGGCTGGATGGACCATTGGTCTGACCCAGTATGGCTGGTCTTATGGTCAGAGCACTGAGCTGGGAGTCAGGATGCCAGGACTCTGTTCTTGGCTCTGCGGCTGAGTCACTGGGTGACCTTGAGTTGGTTGCTTCTCTGTGCCTCAGTTCCCCTATCTGTAAAATGGGGATTATATCCACCTTAACCCATTAAAGTGCCCTGAGCTCCAGGCTTCATTACTGGAGATCAGGGGCCTGGCTGGAGATGCCCTGACTCTTTGCTCCCCCGCTGAGTAGGTCATGCTGGTGCTGGCGTAGCCTGTGGCAGGAAGCTCCGTCTCTGCACGGCACAGAGGTGGGGAGGGAGGTTAGAAAACGCGCTGTCTAGATCTCAGCCGGAGGGTCAGCCAGAGACTTAGCAGCTGGTGCTGGAGACAGCCAGAGAGCCAGCTGAGCAGAGCCAGCCCCACAAGCTGCAATGCAGAGGCTGGGGGGGTGTCTCCTCCTGTTGCTTTTAGCAGGTGAGTGCACGGTGCTATCAAAGTCCCTGGCATTTAGGGCTAAGCTTTGCGTGATTTGGGTGCGCACGCAGGGCCTGCTTTTCAGAGATTTCCAATTCACCCAGCCTGCTGGATCCCAAATCCCCACGCTCTCTGCAGGGCCAGGACAGCTCCAGCCCTGCCTGCCAGGCGGGGTTCGGGGATGCCCCAGCCAGCTCCAGGCCAGGCTCCAGGGAAGCAGGAGGCAGGAAGCCCTCTGTGCTGGGGAGAGGCCATGGGAGATACGCACCTTCCCAGAGTCAGGGATTCATCACAGCTTTGCTTGGTACCCGTCGGGCAGTGGTACCACCTAGGCGCTCTCGAACCAGGTCTGGGTACTGCCCGCCCTGGGCTCTCTAGCCTCATACAACCAGGGGCCCTATCACCAGACACTGCTCACTCCCCAGTCCTCTCTCAACACCTACTGTACGGCTGCCGGGCGAAGGGAAGGCCGGGAGATAGGCAAGGGAGAGGGGCATGTACTCCCCACTCCCCCCAACGCTCCATCGGACAATGCGGGAGGCCGGGATGGGGGGGGGCTCTGCTCCGGCAGCCTCCCTCCTTTCCGTCCCCAGAATAGCAGCTGTTTTGTCTCGGCTTCTCCCTGGGGATAATTTACTGCACCCCTATCTCCCGCCCCGCCCCGGCCTGCATAGCAACCTTTGTCCCAGCACCTCCTTTGTTCCTGCTGCTCTGCTCGGCTACAATCCATCGCCCCCAGGACTCTCCAGCCGGCGGAGTGAACCCCCCTCCCCTCCGGAAGAGGGAGCGGGTCTTGTCCCTTCCCTCCCTCTGTTAACTGAAGCTGGGTAATTTGGGGGTGCTCTAAAAGACACCCCCTGATTTATTCTAGGACTCATGCAAAACCTATAGGACTAAACTTCCATCGGGCTGGTGAATGCTCTGGGCCGCCCAATACGGCCTGCATATTCTCCCCTGCATATTCCAATCCTTCAGTGCAGCCAGCACGTTATTATTAATTATGTCTATTACGGCAGGGCCTAGGGGCCAGCCAAGATGGGGGCCCACTGTGCTGGGGGTGAACAAACACAGGGGATTAGACAGTTCCTGTCCCAAAGAGCTCACGAGCTAGGCAGAATGGACCCAGGGTCAGGGAGCGTTCGCCTTCCTGGGTTTCCACATGAAACTGCTGGGGAATTTTGGACATTTTGGCACCTTCCAAAAATTTGGGGGAGTTTCTGACACTTCTATTTGGCAATTCGAGAACATGTCTGCCCTTTTGTCCTCGATTCGGGGGGAAAAGCATTTCCAATATTTTCCCCGGCCGCTTCTTTGCCCCCTCCCAACCCATGAGATCTACAGTGTGCCATGAAAATTGCACTCTTGGCCCATGGTGGCCCCGATCCTGTGAATGACAGCGGGCAGGTGGGCTGTGGTGCCCAAGCAGCACCCAGCTGGAATCAATGCCCAAGCGCCGTCAATCACAGAATTGGGGCCACGCGCTGGGCACGCTCCGGCCCTGGTCAGTCATCCAGGGACTATGTATTCGAATAGTCCCAGGGAGTTCAGTGGGGCTGCTGTCATACAGAAAGTTAATTAGAATCATTACGATGTGTATCCTTGGAGCCCGTACCCCACTGTGCCTGGCGCAGCACAAACGCTGAATGAAAAGTAGGGTGTGAACACCGTCTTTGCAGGATTGGGGCTTTTCTCAGCCTCCCCAGCAAGGGCAGGAGCACCCGGGGGGTTTAGGGGTTTTGCAAAACCTCTGGTCCCCTTTTTGAGGGCTTTGGGTTTAATATAATTTAACCCTCCCCTCTCAACAAATTCATTTCTAAGTAACCCTAACTCTGGGCTAAGCAGCCAATCCGGGGCTGGATTCTGCCCTGAGCGATGCCTGCCGAGGGCTAACGTAACGCGCCAAGCCGAGCCCGAAAGTCATCCCCGCTCTGCTTCTGGGCAAGAGAAACACGGGAGAGGGTTTGAGCTGCGGAGACAGGATCGAGCCTTCAAACCACTGGTGCCAGTTCTTCAGGGGAAGGATGTTCTGACAAGGAAGGGGACCTGGGATCTGTGACCCAGGATGGCTGGTTTGGGGTTCAGTCTCAAAAGCTGTTCTGGGGGGTCCCCAAGGCCGCAGTTGGGATCTCAGAACTGGGTTCCCTATCTGAGAAACGCAGGTGGTAAAACCCATCTTTGGGAGGTGCTTTGAGATCCATGGTGGAAGCGCCTCTGTGCGGTTGCTCTTGGTGGAGTTTCTATCTCCTGTCTTTTCCTCCCCTCAGCCAGGAAGGAAGCAGGGACCCTGCAAGTGAGGCAAGATCCTGCCCAGATCCTGGCCCCCCTGGGGGGCTCGGTGGAGCTGTCCTGCCAGATCCACGCTGCCCAGCACTGGGAGAGGCTCCGTGTGGAGTGGAGGAGGGAGGGCGCCCTGAGGGCTCTCTGCCAGGTCGTGCTGGACAACACCAGCGTCTCCAACTGCTGCAAGGGCATGGAGGGCTGTGATGACGCCCGCCTCGGCTTCACCTGGCACCCCCCTAAGTTCACCCTGAGGATGGGCAACATCAGTAAAGATGACGTGGGGCAGTACATGTGCGTAGCCACCGTGGAGATCCCGGTGTATCTGCAGGCCGAGGGCAACGGGACGATGCTGAATACCTCAGGTAGGGGGGCAGAGGCGCTGCCAGGGCAGGGGGGGCACCTGCAACTCACTCCCAGTGGGGCCAGTGGGCCTGCTCCAGAGATCAGCACCAAACAGGATCAGCCCCTAGGTGAGGGTGAGGAGGGGTGAACTGGCTCCAGGTGGATGGGACAGCGTCTGAGAGCACTGCCCGGTCCCTAGGAGAAGGGGGAGCTGTTCTCTACAGCCCCACTTACTGGGAGAGCCCCTCCCCTCCCCCCGGCTGCACCCCACAGCGTGGTGCTAGGTGGGGGTCTCTCCATCCCCCTCCCTGGTCAGACGTTGAGTTTCTCACTTCCCATCAGGGCTGCATTTCCGTTCACATGTGCCACCCACGGTGCGAGCTGCCAAAACCACAGCGCGAGCCGCCCGGGGCCCTGCATCCTGCAGCCCCCTCGGTTGCCTCTCTCCTCCCCTGCCCCCTGTGGGCCCCTCTGCCCCCGTGGGCTCTGCACCCTGTCTTCTGCCAGCCTCCTCCCCGGGAGCTGCGCACCTGCTTCTCTGCCTTGTGGCTCTATGCACACTGCAGACCGTGTCTCCTGCAGGCCTCATAGGGCCACCACCCGAGCGCCCCCCATTGTACCCAATACCCCCAGCCTCTGAGCACCCCACACCTCACTTTATGCCCTCTGCATCTTCTGTGCCCCAACCCGGTACCCTGGGATGCCTGGTGTCCCGTGCACTCTTCCCCTTGTGTGCCCTGCCCACCCTGTGTTCTGCCCCCTCGCCCCTGCCCCTCGGGTACTCTTGCTGCTGTGTTCAGGTTTCGCCCCTAGTCTGAGGTCTCTGTCTCCTGCGGCATCCAGGTTCATCTCCTCTAGACGCGTTAGATTTCACAGGGTTCGCTCTCCACCCCCGTTTCCCAGCCAGGGGTCCCTGAGCAAATAGGCATTGGGCCCATGCTGGGAGTGGCTCCCAGTTCAGAGCTGGCTGGAGCCCTGCAAACACAATTCCCCAGCCGGGCACCCTCTGGCCAATGAGTGAGGAACACAGATGGCCTCTGTGCTAATTGCTGGGTGGTCCCCAACGAGCTCCCTGCAGCTGGCTCGCTGGGTCCCCAGCTGTCCAGCCCTCTCAGCATCCCCTGGGGGTGGGAGAGGAAGCCAGGCCATAGCGTCTGTGCCCCACACTCCAGCCAGCTCCAGCAAGGGGATTGGCCTCAACCCTGCCCGTCACGGGTTGTGATGAATTTCCCTCGCGCATCCCATCATTGCCACGGAAAGAGCTGATGTTGCACCGCGTTTCCATCCAAAGCCAGTGTGGCTAATCTAACTCACGTGCCCATCACTGTGGCATCTAGCAGCCCAGGGCATGGTTCAGGAGTAAGGCGGGATGGTCTTCAAATAATTGAGGCCGAGTTGCAGCCAAGACGTGGAAAATCATGGCAAAGTAATCATGGGCCGTTATTAATAGCAGTCATTTGGAGAAGCCGGAGTAGACCTACTTGTTTAAGAAAAAATTGCTGGAATGATAGAAACACTCAAGTCTTATGGGATGCATGCGAATTTCTTTGACACCCAGCCCTCACACTATAAAATTCGGAAGACTGAAAGTCGTAACACAACGGGAGTCCGGTTGCCGTAGCCTTTCACCCTTCACAGGTGTCGCATGTTTGTGCCGTGCTAATGGCACACTCGAAAGGTCTGCGAAATGGTGCACCGGGCAAAGAAAGCGACTTCAAATCCAAATGGTGGTGGCGTGGCGTGGGGGGGCAGGGGGGAGCCTCACATGGCGGGAGCCGTGATTGCCGCAGGATCGTGAATGAAATAGGGCCGTCTTCCGGAGCGCAGTAAGCCCTGGCCAAAGCAGCCCCCTTCCCCCAGGATGCAGAGCAAGAGGGCTGGGGAAGTTGTGAAGTGACAGATGTTTATTTCTCTCGACAGCAGCAGACGGAGGAGGTTGGCTGAGGAATCACAGCAGAGGTGAGAGGCGTTAAACCTGCAGGATTACACCCGCGTGGGCCCAGGGGACCCCGGAGTCACGCCCATCCAGACCTCCCCCACTTTGCCCCTCCAGGAGACCCGGGTCACACCCACCCAAACCTCTCCTGTGGCCTCCCGATCGCTCGTTGCTACACTTGGACCCCGGGTCAGAGCGCCTGGGCCAGGCCCTTACTGCGGCTAATGAGCCCTTGAAATTGATTCTGGAACATCACTTTGGCCGCCAAAGCCGGGAGGCCCCTGCCTAGCCCCCACTGCCCACGCCTGGCCCAGTGCCAGGCATGTCCCACGGCAGCGAGCTATGGAGGTGGTGCCCCAGCAAGGAGCCTGGAGCAGAAGGAGTCACTGCCCGGGCCTGCGGGGCGAGTGGCAGCATGAGGCCAGGCCAGCACTTCCCCTCGGACGGGGCTCCAGGAGGGGGGTGCTGGGGACGGGACAGGGTGGGGCCCCCAGAGAGGCTGATGGCTCTGTCCGGCTGTTTCAGACCTCGTGCTGTGGCTGGGCCTGGCTGGAGCGCTGGCCGTCACCACACTGCTGCTACTGCTGGCCGTGATCTGCTGCTACAAACGCAGGCGCAGAGATCCAGGTAAGAGCCCCCGGGGGACTCCCGCTGCAGCTCATGTCCCCAGGGATGGAGCAGGGACCCTGCCCTCAGCAGTGGCTAGCTGTCTGAGAGACCCTGGGCCTGGGGGAGGCGTGGCGAGCATCCCCCAGGGATCTGTGGCCCCATGGGCCACCTCAGTGAGCGACCCCCTACCTGTGGGAGTCACCTGGGCAGAGATCCCAGCTGTTCTTCCTATGCTGCCAGGGGCTGGCTGAGCAATGCTGCCCTCCAGCGGCTGCAGACGGCAGGGACTGTTAAAGAAGCTGTGTCTACACACAAGAAGCTGCGTGGTTAAAATCGCCCCTTATCCCCAGGCACGGCAGGGGAGTTTCAGAACCACCCGCTGGGAAGCTCCTGCCCTGGCCCCTATCCCCTATCCACTGCGATACAAGCTTCCTGCGTTCCCACGTCTCTGAGGTGCTCAGCTGGTGCAAACCAAGCAGGGGCGAGCTGGGGTCTGCACTGGGACGGCAGACTTCCAGCGTGGTGCTGATGGCTGAGGGGATGCTCCTCTTCCACCAGGCAGAATCCCAGTGGGAGGCCAATGGGCGCAGAGTGGCTAGAGGTGACACCCCTCCTGACCGCTCCTGGTTATTAAAGGCTGCAGCGGGTATTTACCAACAGTGGAAGCCGTTAGCCCTGGGTATCTAGGACGGATTCCTTTCTGCTTCTTGAGCCCCCTGCGCTGTCTCATCCAGACACAGGGCCCTTTCTCATTTCCTGTCCTAAGCGGCCATCGTAGGGTTGCTGTGTGGCTGTTAAACAGCCGCCATGTCCTGCCCCAGAATGGGTTGTACTCCAGGGGGCAGGAGAATGCAATTCTTGGGTATCGCATTTGGAAATAACTCTGAAGCTCCTCCAGGAGGAAAAGCTGGGGGTAATAGAAGATCATTTCTCCTGTGTGTTTTGCCCCTTTTGCCTGAGTGGGTCCTGGCTGGGTGGTTTCCAATCAGAGGAGATTGATGATATGAGTCAGGTATTTCTCTGGGGCAAGCCTGTTTATTTACAAACAATGTCCACAAAGTCCTGTTTCCCTGAACACAGTAGGAACAAACAACAACAGGCAGCTTGCTTGCTCATAAATACCAACCCTGCTTTTCCAACAAGTCCTCCCCACGGAGCTCTCTCTCACCCTTTCAGCACCATGCTCACAATGACTTCTCTTGATATCTGCTGGTTTTCTGCCTCTCTCACATACATAGCTTGCCAAGCAATCCCCTCACCCATGCGTTTGCAAGCAGTCCAAGGGAAACCTCTCAGACAACACGGCTTAACTCTGCACAGGTGTTGCCAGATGGTCGATTGCCTTGGGCGGTGGCTTCTGTTGTCTCCCACGATCTCACACCACAAAAGGGCTTACTTGCTCCTTCCTTTTAGGCTGAAAGAAGTATGCTTGGCACACTCAGCGGCTTTGACCAGGTCTGCTTGACGGCAGCCATTAACGCTTTCCGGTATAACCTCTGTTTGAAATCCAGGGCAGGCAATCTACGTGAACGTTCTGTTCCGCAAAAAGCAAGAGGAAAAGAAAGACGGTGCCCAAGCCAGTAGCGAGACAAAGCAGAGCAGCCTCTACATCCAGGAGTTCCAGAAACGGGGGCACAACTGGAGGCCTCCAGTTGCAGAACGGAGGCCTGGCCCCATGAAAGCTTCCAAAAAGGCCTTCTCCTTTAAGCAGAGGACAACGGAAAGGCCATGAAGATCCGTGCAGCGCTCGGATGCCCCCAGTCAGAGCCCTGCCCACTCTGCTTCTAAGGTTCTAACCCTGCCCCTCTCCAAATGGACCTTGGGGCTGCCTCTCACTGGAGTTAAGTGCCGCCCATGCGCTCGGGGCTGCACAGAGCACAGCACGAAGAGGGTCCCTGCCCTGCTGTGCTTATGATCAGAGAGACCAAAGTGGGGGGCCTGGGTGCCCAGAGGGAGGAATCGCAGAGGAGAGTGTTTGGTTTGTTTGCTGTGGCCAGGGGGGAGAGGCAAGTGCAGAGCCGGGAGAGAGGCCAGGATGGGGACAGCGTTGAATCTGAATCCTCTTCTCAACGACATTCAGGTGCTTAACCTCCCCCTCACTTGGTTTCAATGGGAGTTAGGCACCTAAATACCTTAGGCAGCTCTGGGCCTTGGAGCCTTACAATCCTACCGCTCCTCCATCAAGGGAGCACAGGGCCTTTCCCCCCATGACCTCCGGGCCATTCAATGGGAGTTACCCTGAAAGGGAGGAAAAACCCTTCTGGCCAGGAGGAAATCTGTGCACCGGGGCACAATCCTGCCTCTATGGCAGTCAGTGGCAACGTTCCCAGTGAGCTGAACAGGGCCAGGACCGTGTCTGCCTGTGCCCTTTAGCGAGTGAGGAGCCAGACGCGAGGGGCAGGTCTCTTCAGCGGTGCCCGGAGGTGCTGTGCTCGGGAGCTGCCCAGAGGCAGCTTGGTCAGACCAAGGGTCCATCTAGCCCAGTGTCCTGTCTGCCTACAGTGGCCAGTGCCAGGTGCCCCAGAGAGAATGAACAGAACAGGGAATCATCAAGTGATCCATCCCCTGTCACCTGTTCCCAGCTCCTGGCAAACAGAGGCTAGGAACACCATCCCTGCCCATCCTGGCTAATAGCCACTGATGGACCTATCCTCCATGAACTTATCTAGTTCTTTTTTGAACCGTGTTATAGTCTTGGCCTTCACAACATCCTCTGGCAAGGAGTTCCCCAGGGCAGCTGTGCGTTGTGTGAAGAAATACTTCCTTTCGTTTGTGTTAAGCCTGCTGCCTATTAATTTCATTTGGTGGCCCCTAGTTGTGTTCTGAGAAGGAGTAAATAACACTTCCTGATTTCCTTTCTCCACACCAGTCATGATTCAACAGCCACCCGCTAGCGTTGCCCAGCTGGGCTGACGGATGGCACGTGTGCTGCTTCTTATTCAGCCCTGTGGCTTGGTAGGGGAGCCCTCTCGAGTCGGGGACTAGCTGGGATGCCCACCGGGCTGGCCGGGATTACAATGTCTCGGCGGACGGGCTGCCAGATGACTTGTCCATGGCGACCGATGAAGAAAACGGCGAGGAAATGTCGTAAACTCTTCTCCAGACTGTTCATGCGTAGAGGGCGTTGCAGTTTTGGGGTAACTTTATTTCCCTTCGGTGCTCCCTCAAGGGCACCTACTTAAGGTTTCCGGCTCCTAGTGGTGCCTCTTTCGGGAGGGGACCTGCGTCTCTCCCCCGCCTGACTGGGGTTTTCAGGCTGCACGGCTCCCGGCCGTACACTGTGATATCCCAGCAAGTTGGTCAGCCTGCAGGCCAGCGCTTGGGCTTTGCTTTCTGCCTGAGGGCTATAAAGAGGGTGGCCAGCAGTTATAAGTTACCAGCCAGCTCTGAACAAGCACCTTCGTTCTTAAGGCAAAACCATTACAGAGTAAACCTAGAAAGACAAGTTGTCGTCACCCATCAGCCTTACGGGGCCCTGGGAGGCCAAGGTCTTTCCGGAAGGGTTGGGGCCAGACGCTCCCATCCTCTGGCTGGCTCAGAAAGATGCCCTGAGGAAGTTTAAACCTAGCCTCCTAATACCAAAAGACCTTTCTTTGTTTGTTTAGGTCTGAAAAAAACAGTTTGAATCAGTCTATTCCAGCCTGGAGTTGGGGGGGGGGTGTTAAGTAGTCTCTGGAGGTGTTTATAATCAAAGTTAGGGTGACCAGATGGCAAGTGTAAAAAATCGGGATGGGGGTGGGAGGTAACAGTTGCCTATATAAGAAAAAGCCCCCAAAATAGGGACTGTCCCTATAAAATCAGTACATTTGGTCACCCTAATCTAAGTGATTCACCTTAATCATCCCCCACCGCTTTGCCTTCCTGGACACCGGCCCTGGCAATGGCAGCCATAGGTTGCTAAATTTGGTTGGACCTATTCCTGGAGGTTTTGTCATGTGACATCATCTTTAATTAAAGATTAATCATTCCTTCCTGGAGACTCCAGGACAATCCTGGAGGCCTGGCAACCCTAATGACATGCCCTGGCCCACAAGTGGCACGTACGCCGTTCATACCTTGTAACACAATATGGTCTCCAAAGATCGTGCATTCAGTTGCAATATCTGTCACACACTGTATGTAATAAGCATGTAGCAAGGCAACCTTGTCTAGGGGTAGAGCAGAGGCCTTGGCTCGGAATCCTGGCTCTGCCACTAACTCACTGTGAAATCGGAGACATCACCGTCCCTGTTTGTGCCTCAGTTTCCCTCTTTGTGACGTGGATATAATTCCTACCCACTTTTCTAAAGCACTTTGAGATCCTTGGATGAAAGATGCTTTTGTAAATGCAATGTTTTTTATTACTATTATAATTATTGTCTGTATTATTTATGGTTTTTTTCTTCTCAATGGATTCTGTACAATGGACGGTAAAGCAAAGTTGTCCGAATGCAACACTGTCCTTTGGAATTTGTCACGTCTTGAACTCTCTGCCCACTTGTTCAGATGCAGGCCGGCTTTGATGGCCTTTTCGAGTCTGCGTCTGACGTCTGTATTGTTAAAAGAAAAGCAGGTGTGTTGATCAAACAAGCAAAGCTGTGGATAGTTTTAGAAGGCAGGGATTGGGTTTAACGCTTTTTTCTGCCTCTTCTGATGTATAAAGAGGACCTGAAAGTTGAGCTGGGTGACTAATGGATTTTTCAATTCACTGGTAATTTTGGGGGGGAAATCGGATCAAAATGATGACAACATTTTTCATAATTTTTCAGCAAACCAAAAAGCTGAAGAAAATTTCATGTGGAAGTGAAATGTTGCGGTAAATAAAAAATTTTGCCCAGCTCTACCTGCCAGGTTTATTTAAAGAGCAATTTTCCCCGTTTCTTGCTTACATCAGGTATTGAATTTTTTCCTTCCTAGTTTCCTGGAAGCCTCTCTGTAGAAAAAGGAGGCGGAGAGTATCATAGATACCAGGGAAGTGAAAGTTGACTAAATGAGAGAAGAAGTGATGTTTTTTCCAGCCTGATCAAAAGTATTTGGGTTTTGTTTGATTTTTGTTTACGTATTTAACGCAAATGCCTAACGAATAGCTGGGTGGAAAGCTCTCTGAGTTCGAATCACTGTCCCATCTGTTCAATGACAGGCAGAGAAAGCCTTGAATACGTATCTCCAGCTCTTCCCAGGAGTCCTCCAACAAGACAAGGGAAGACCAGACTTAATATTTGTAAAGCTCAAACACACAAAACCACATTAAAATAAAACATGTGCAGGCTTTATAAGGGGCACTGCCCCATTTGCCCTCCTGATGCAGGAGTCGTGGGATGAAATTTAAAGGCCACGTCATATAGAAAGTCCGACTCGATGATCACCATGGTTCCTTCTGGTCTTAAAATCTATGTGGGCAGCTAAACTTGGAGACAGAGGGGCCAGGGGGAAGAGTCTCTCTCTCTCTCTCTCTCCAGTGGCTGGCTGCAATACTGAGGTTTCTTCTGCGAGGGATTCTTACCTAGAACAGAGCCGTGGGCCATCAGTCCAGCAACGGCTGATTCTTAGCTGCATGGAAAGCCCAGGAATGTCTGGCTAACATGGTTCCTGGATTCCTGGCAGGGCCCCCCCCCACCACTTGGATCCAATCAAGCCCAGCAGTAACATACACCAGGGCAGTCCCATGATCTGGGGGGCTCTCTCTGGGCCTGCATCAGGAAGCACAGCTTGGCTGGACCGGAGGAGGTGGCCATGAGGCTTCTCTTTGTGCTGCGAGAGAAGGTAACGAGACTGAGGCCCCCCTTTGTTTTCATTTGGCCAGCGGGGGCCTAAGCCCCGCGCCAGGGGCAGGATCCTGGGGCACATGGCTGCAATCGAGGTGTAACAGCATGCAAGGCGAGAGCCAACGATGGCATGAGCACCTCAGCCCTTGAGCTCTGAACCGTCATGGTCCATTGCTTTCACGCTGCCCCCGCGCTGTCAATGTGCCATGGGTCCCCGACGGCCCAGGGGCCCTGCAGGAGCTCCTCAGGGGGCAGACTGCATCCGGGCCGTGGGAATCACGCCTGCAACATGGGGGATTGGCACTCCTCGCTACATGCCCAGTGCAGACGAGGCTGGGGTGGACCACGTATTCCAGCTCACGACTGCGCGGCACCGGGGCCTGGCGATCCCTGCTCCCCCGTCCTGCCATCTCCAGGCTCCATCCTATGCCATCCTCACCCCAAGTGTCCGGGTGGCTAGCAGCATCCCCAGGGCCTTGCCCCAGGTGGCTGGGTGGCTAGCAGTGTCAGCAGCATCCCCAAGGCTTCAGCCCAGGTGGCTAGCAGTGTCCCCAGGGCCTCAGCCCAGGTGGCTGGGTGGCTAGGAGCATCCCCAGGGCCTCAGCCCAGGAGGCCAGGTGGCTAGCAGCATCCCCAGGGCCTCAGCCCAGGTGGCCGGGTGGCCAACAGCGTCCCCAGAGTGTAACTGGGTCACAGAGGGGGGTGATACGGGGCCTGATTCTCTCCTCAATCACTCTGGTTGCTCTCTGTAGCCCGTCCCTGGGGGATCCCCTGCCCCGCCCGGCGTTGGCACAGACGCCGATAGCTAAGACGAGCGGCCCAGGAACGGGCCCTGGCTGGAGTTCGGTGCCCTTTGCCCCTGCCCTGACGGGTCTCTGGCTGCAGAGCCTAGCAGCTACATCACATGGGTGAAAAGAAAAGGAGCACTTGTGGCACCCTAGAGACTAACCAGGGTGCTGAGGGTGCAGTGCCTGGCTTTGCCCGGGGAGGGCGCTCTGAGTCCACAGACCAGCATCGCATCTTAGCCTGGGTGGCAGCTGGGGTGTGAGATTCCCTGCTGGGCCAGGCTTTGCTCAGTCCCTGGCTCTCGCTCTTTCTCCTTCTTCTCTTCTCCCTCTCTCCTCTCTGGTCTTTCTTTCTTCCCCTTCTCCAGGGACGAGGGCGTGATCCCCGTGATGCTGTCAGCCCAGCCGTGTCAGTCCCAGCCTGGCCCAGTCACCCCTGCACCCCTCAGTGCCTCGCAAGCCCCCCAGCTCCATGAGCTGCTGGTAGAAGGGGGAGATGGGGAGAAGGATCTTGGGGCTGGGGGCTGCAGGGCTCCATGTCTCTTCCGCAGCCCTGGGGGGGAGCATCCTAGAATCACTTATTCGGGGAGGGCGTGCTGTTAGCACTTAGAGCAGGGGACTGCGATTCAGGACGGCTGGGTTCTAGTCCAGTCTCTGTAGAGTGTGACCGTGGGCAAGCCAATGCCCCGCTCCGTGCCTCAGTTTCCCCATTTTACTGCAGGGCCCCTACCTTGAGCAGTCAGGAGGCTGGCGAGCCCTTGGTGAAAGGGGCTCCAGAGAGCAGCTTGTCACTAACCACAGTGAGCCCCCAGCAGCCTCCCAGTCTGCCCCCAGAGCTCCAGCCCCAGCCCCGCTGAGCCTGCCCCTGAGATCCCCTGTCTGGTGCCGGCCTTGACGAGCACAGGGAGGGCCTGAGCTGCTGGCCACGGCGATCAGCTGCGGCCGTCTGTGCTCCCGGCCTTGCCCATTAGAGCACAAGCAGCATCGTCACCAACATGGCCAAATGGCCCCAGCAGCAGCCATGGCTCACTGGGGCCCAGGCTGCAGCGCAGCAGGGCTCGGACCAGCCTCCCTGTGGTTTGGCTGAGTTACTCATTGACTCCCCCCAAGGCACAGCCCCCCCAGCCCCTGTGATCGCACATGCACCCCTGTATGCCATACACCCCCCCCATATGTCATGCACCCCTGTATGTCCCCCCCGCCAACTAACAAAGGAACTTGTGCTGGATTCTCTATTTCACTTCTCCCCCTTGCCCCCCACCTGGCGTCTGCTCCTCCTCTCACCAATACAGGCGTGTGTGTGTGTGTGTGTGTGTGAGGGGTGTGCACACACAAAAACGTGTATATGCCTGCGTTCAGGTGTGCCCCTGTGCATGCGTGGGGAGAGCTGTGGTTCTGTGTTTATGCAAAAGTGTGTGTGTGTGTGTGTGTAAAGGTGTGCTTGGGTCGGTGCATGTGTGTTCAGCAGTTTGTGTGTGTGTGTGTGTGTGTGTGTGTGTGTGTGTGTGTACAGGTGCTCAGGAGTGGGTGAGCTGTGTGGGTGTCCGTAGGTAGGAGTGTGCGTATGACGCAGTGTGTGTGTGTGTGTGTGTGTGTGTGTGTGTGTATACAGGTGCTCAGGAGTGGGTGAGCTGTGTGGGTGTCCGTAGGTAGGAGTGTGTGTATGACGCAGTGTGTGTGTGTGTGTGTGTGTGTGCGTGCGTGTGTACAGGTGCTCAGGAGTGGGTGCGCTGTGTGGGCGTCCGTAGGTAGGAGTGTGTGTATGACGCAGTGTGTGTGTGTGTGTGTGTGTGTGTGTGTAAAGGTGTGCTTAGGTCGGTGCATGTGTGTTCAGCAGTTTGTGTGTGTGTGTGTGTGTGTGTGTGTACAGATGCTCAGGAGTGGGTGAGCTGTATGGGTGTCCGAAGGTAGGAGTGTGCGTATGACGCAGTGTGTGTGTGTGTGTGTGTGTGGGTGGGTGGGTGGGTGTGTACAGGTGCTCAGGAGTGGGTGAGCTGTGTGGGTGTCCGTAGGTAGGAGTGTGTGTATGACGCAGTGTGCGTGTGTGTGTGTGTGTGTACAGGTGCTCAAGAGTGGGTGAGCTGTGTGGGTGTCCGTAGGTAGGAGTGTGTGTATGACGCAGTGTGCGTGTGTGTGTGTGTGTG